CATCCGCAGGTTCGTCGGGCACGGTGACTTGTACTGCCGCTGCTTGAATTGTCACGCCATGATACGTTCCGCTGGTATCGCCGATGGTGATAGTGTCCGTTGTCACCGGTAGCTCCAGTGGCTTCTCAGGGGGTGGGGGCGAGGCTCGTGCGCGGCGATCTTCGGGTTGCGTGATTTCTTCCTCGAGGTTGGCATCGCCGATCGCCACTCCCCTTGTCTCGAGGCGAAGATAGTTTCTGCCGTCCGTCGTGATGGGAAGCAGGTGAGGTCCGTACTCTGTCAATGACTCTTCCTCCCCGGCTTCTGGTGCATTTCGGTAATTTCTGGTTCTTCTGCTGCTTCTGCTTGTTCTGCTGCAGGTGCTTCGCCAGCGCTTCCCCAACCGGTTTCAGCTGCGATGGCCTCTCCCAGCGAGGTGTTGTCCATGATCCAACTCGTGTCTACTGCGTCCCAGCCTTCGGTGGTATTCCAACCGGTAGGTTGTTGAACGGGAGGCCAGAATGTCTGTGTGGCTTCCGTGTTTGTCGACGCAGTTGGTGCGGCTGTTGTTTCTGACGTGATTTCCTCTCCTTCTTCCACCGCTTGTGGTCCTGTGTCTGCAGGGTTCGTGGTGGAGGCGACAGGTACGGCGAGCGCGCGGAAGGTGCCGTCAAGACCAGGTTGCTGGTAGTCGGTTTCTTCTGGGTGACTCCACCTCGGCGGCGACGGGTGGCCCGGAGGGTCAAGAACAAGGATGTTCGTCGCCAGAGGTTCTGGGTGACTCGAAGTCAAGCACGAAAACGCCCTCCACACTTGTTGCCTTTCCGATGAAGATGCCGTTGTATATTAAGTGCATCTCGTCTTCTGTTGTTTGCAGGCCAACTCCGCACTTCATCAGCTGGTGGAGGGACAAGAGGTTGTACCGAAGTTCCGGCACGATGAGGACATCGCTTATGTGGATGCAGTAGCCGGTGTCGTGTGACTCCAGTTGCACTTGTCCGCGGCTTCTGGCGTAGATGGTTTGACTGTTGGCGACGGTGATCTCCACTTCGTTGAAGAGTCGCTCTCTGTTGAGGATGAAGACGTCCGATGACACCATGTGCTGACCACAGCAACTGTCCAGGTACCACGTGTTGACTTCCTTTCTCGCCTTCGCCAGATTGGCGAGCTTCGGAGTGATGTGATGTTCCATGTCGTGATCGTTCTCGTAGTCATAATAACTTCCTTCCTCGTCGTATGCGATGCGTGCAGGTGGTGACTCCTGGATCCACTCCGGCGCTTCCCAGTCGAATTGCATCCGTCCGACCGTCAACTCGTCGTAGGTTGGATCGTTCTCTTCTTCTTCTTCGACTGATCCTTCGGGCCGCTCCTGAGGCGGATCTGCTAACATATCTTCCCAGCTGCGGAAGAAGCGGTAGTGACGGTTGGGGCGAGGCGGTCCACGACGCACCATGCAAGTCAAGACCTTGCTTTTACCCTTGTCGCTTGTGTTCGCAGAGAGACGCGCCGGAGCTTGGGACGTGCTGGCGACGGCTGGCTGCGACACAGTTTGGTTGCGCGTTGCGGCTCCTCCTTGCTGGTGAGCAGCGGCACCCTTCTGGTTGTTGTTGTTACCGTTTAGCTTCCAGCAGTCTTGAATCATGTGCCCAGTCTTCTTGCAATACTTGCAGAAGAGTCTTTTCTTGTCCGGTGGCGCTTGGGCGTAAAAGGCGATCTTCTCCTTCTTGTTGCCTCTTTCGTTGTACAGGTCGATTTCCTTCTGCTCGGAGAGAAGCGTGGAGCAGAGGGCAGTTTCACTGAGGGTGCCTTGTGTGCGAAGGAGAGACTTGCATTGACGCCATTCCGGGCTCAATCCAGCGAGGATGATAGTGACGAACATGTCGTCAGGGAAGTTGCCGACGCTTTTCCTGAATTGGTCTCTCAGGTTCCTGCAGCGGTTGATGTATGGTCCGGCCTTTTCGCCGGGAAACATCTTGACGCTGTTCAGCTGGTTGAGCAGGCGACTGAGTGTCACCGAATCTGTTGCCATGTGGCAGGTGCGCAGGTGTTCCCAAGACTGTTGCGCGGGCGCCCACTCGTTTTTGAAGGGGCGAATGCTCAGCTGTTCTTCGGGCGACAGGTTCCGAATCAAGACGGTGAAGGCCAGGAGCGATTCGTTGTAGTATTGCGTCTTCTCCTGAGGTGAGCCGTTTGTTGGGAAAGCGTATGATCCGTCGTAGTACATCCATTCTGAGCGCCCTGAGCTAGTAGCTCGAATTCGAAGCTCCAGGTGTAGAAGTCTTGTCCATCGAAGGGCTTGGTTGTCCTGAGCTTTGATGTAGAGAGGAACTTGCTCTGCATTGAAGCCATTGCCTCGTAATGTGTTTGTTGTGCTTGAGCAGATCCTTGAACTCCGCGGTTATCGAAGGTGAAGGATCGTTCAGATCCAGCTCCTTGAGGATCGGGAGGTCTTCGGGCGTAACTTGAGCCGTCAATACTCATTGGCTGGTGGCTCTCCAGTGCGCTGGTGCGGGAGATCAGCTGCTCGAGGAGCGCTGTGTCCACAGTCGTCGTAGTAGAGGCGACATTGGTGGAGGGTTGTACTGGATTTTCTCCAGTCTCTCCGCAGTCTGCGCCTGGCATGTTGATGCCCTTGATGTTGTTGATGTTGAGATCTATTTATGAAGAAGCTTTGTTGGAAGCCCCTTTAGCAGATCCTTTAATCCAAACTAGCTCTCATACCATGTTAGAGTGAGGACCTTGGATAGGATAGGAGTTGCCTTAGAAGAGTTGGTAGCGGAAGTCTTGTTGTAAGAACTCAGATCATAGTGAATGTAGATGACCAAGTTGATTAAAAGATATAATACAAGGGATATAAATAGTCCTAATCTAGCCATGTACTCTGAGGGGTACATTCCCTTATTATAACTGCTTTACAGGCATTTCTACAGTGACTCTGACTGTTGTACTACCTTCTTGTTACCGAGTCGCTGCATGTAACCTGTACGGTTACGCCTGTTGCCATTCCTCGATGGTAAGTCAAGCGTCGGTCCAGATGGTCAACAGTCGCGACAGTTGACTCTTGCGACTGTTGACCTTCCTGCCCTCGATACGGGCTGATCCGATACTGCGGTTGTTGCTGCTTCGACAGAGTCAGGTGCGCTACTACTGCACCTACGGGAATGCTAAGTATAATTCCTGTTCACACTCCAACAAAACTATCACATATGAACTATATCATGAGCTTCAGGTCAAGAAAAAAAAAGTTTCATAGATCAACAGGGGCATAAAAATTGTTTAATGTAGCACGTTAACTAAGTTATGGATAAATCTGCTCGTTCACCTAATCGATATAGGCCTATTTGTTTAAATCATCTGATTAGCGATACATTCGTAAAATCACCAATCGAAACTCTTATAAACGGGTTCCCATTTGCCCTCTCTGTCACGCAAGGAAGCGCCTCGCCTCAGCAGCACCCAATGGTGCAAGTGACGGCGATACGAAGTGGCGCTGGCGGCGAGCGAATTCGGTTTCCACTTTGACGAAACATTCCTTTCGATCGACGTCTCGGCTCGGACCATGCGGGTTTCGCATGCACGTGCCATGAACCCAGCAGGGACAATTGGTCAACCTGCAGGTCAGCAGAAACAGCAAAGCAGCATCTCATGAGCTGAACGTCATCCGAATCGCATGTGCAACCTCGGATTTACCGCGAGCCCCCAGTCCGCCCCAGCCCCAGCACGACGCGTGCTCTGAACTAGAAGCAGCCAATTGCAAGAGGTCTTGCATTCAGCGACTTTCTCAAGCCGCGTTTTCAACATGGTCTTTCGAGGTGGAAGAAAAATCGGTCTTCTTTGTTTCAGTATGGTTTGGTGCGGTAGTGGGGGGCAGGTTCGGATTTGCCAAGTCCCCCTAGTTCGGTGAGTCGCTGACTGTACGCTCAGCACCAGCCCCTTCCAAGGCTGATTCGCGGTTGGTCGGTTCGCAGCTCGTCTGCAAACGGGCATCGCCGTTCCGCGGTGTTTCGCCCCCCCTCCCCAGGTCAGCCATGGCCACGCGGAAGGGAATTTGCGTGCAGCGGCTCAGCTCACCATCACCAGCCAGCCCACCACCGCCCGCCACTTGCCCAAATTCGCTCGGCACAGTTTGCCGTCACTGAGTTTCATTTCATCTGCCCGACCAACAAGCGGAGGTTGCGCAAGACGCGCTGAGGGGTCATCTGGGAGTCAATAACGCAAAAACGCCAGCACATAGCTGGGAAAGGATTGGATGGCATGGCATCCCACACCCATAATGCAATTCATCGTCGCCACCGAACGAGAGAATGCTCTGATTGGTCAAGTATAGTCGTGCTCGTTCGCCGAAGCACCGAGGAAGTGTGTGCGACGACGAACGAGAGTACACCGACACATCCCATAACCGTCGCACATCAGTGCCACCGACCCATAAAACCACGCGATAGGCAGTTTCAACACTCCGTATCGTTTCGTTCCAATAATCCAGTCTCCAGCCCGTCGCATCTTCGTCGCATTCACTCATTCCCAGCACCACATCCGCCCCCGCCCCACCCCACCCCTACACCGCCGCAAGAGGCGGTGCCTGCGTGACGGACCAACAAAAGGCACATTTGCAGCGCTGACTTGAATCACTCAACGCGACGCACAACTCAGTCCACCACACGCAAGGTTCTTTTTCGTCCCCCCTCGCACGCCAACAGCGTACCAAGCCAAACACCAGCAACCAGTCAACCAGTTTCGATTTCATCCACACCAGGCCAGGCCAGCTACAACGATCAGGTCGTGGAGCTCTTTGCTTCCTTCTCTCGCAAGGCAGCTTGTCGCCGACGCTTTTCTCTCGAGGACCCAGAGCGCTGTTAGACGCTTATTGCTTTCTTAGCCTAGACGCGTTCGCCCTCGATTGTTTCTCTAGCGGTAAAATCAGCAGCAGGAGCAGATAAACACAGGCAGTCACAATCCCTGCTCGTCAGATTGAAAGATTGTCGGGATTCTGCACCATTTTTTTAGAGTCAAAGATACTCGCGATGACGGTGCCTCTTCCCTCCACTCCTCCTCCCCCTCGGGATTTCCTCACCGAGTACTCTCTAGGCCGTCACCTAGGCAAGGGCGCGTTTGGCGAGGTTTTAGAATGCACGCATAACGCGACGGGCCGCCAGTTCGCCTGCAAGAGAATCGACAAGCGATTAATCACCTCCGAGTCGGACGCCGCGGAAGTTAGAAAGGAGGTCGCGATTCTGCAGCAGCTCACCGCCGCGGGCCCGAGCCGCCACGGCGGAATCGTGCAGCTCGTCGAGGCGCTAGAAGACGGCGCCGCTGTGTACCTCGTTATGGAATTATGCGAAGGCGGGGATTTATTCGAGCTGATCAAATCCGATCACGCAGCGGGCATGCCGGAGGACATGGCGCGCGAGATCTTCCACCAGGTGGCGCTGGCGGTGGCGTACTGCCATGCGCGCGGCGTTCTGCATCGCGACATCAAACCCGAAAACATCCTCTTCACAGGCCCTAACCAGCCCGCACCCGCCGCAGATTCCGGCGCGGAATTCGGCGCAGAATTCGGTGTAGAATCCGTGGCCGCGGAATGCTCGCAGAAAGATTTTGGGGATTCTTCCGCCGCCGAGTGGCGCTGGCGGGTGCGCGTGGCGGACTTCGGGCTTGCGCTCTTCCTTCCGCACGGGCACATGGGGCACGGCATGGCGGGGAGCCGCTTCTACACCGCGCCCGAGATGGTCCGCGGGCGCAAATACGGCAAGCGCGCGGACGTGTGGAGCATGGGGGTGGTGCTCTGCGCCATGCTCACGGGGCGCGTGCCTTTTGCGGGGAAGGACCGCGCGGACGCGGAGGGCCTGCGGAGATCGATTCTCCGCGGGGCGATCAACTTCTCCGCGCCCGCGTGGGCGCCCGTGAGCGCGGGCGCACGCGACCTCGTGCGGCGCATGCTGGAGGTGGATCCGCGCAGGCGGCTCAAGGCGGCGGAGGTGCTGCAGCACCCGTGGGTGCTTGGGCTCGAGCTGACGGATCCTACGGCGGAAGATGTGGCGTCAGATGTGGCTATGTCGGCAGATGCGGTGGGATCAGAGGAAAAGTTGGTTCCGGTGAAAGCGCAAGCGGAGTTGAAGCCGCCGCTAACAGTATCGGCGCCGGGGTCTGCGGATGCAAGGGTGGTGGAGGAGGAGGCGAGAGAGAAGAAGATAGGAGCTAACAATCAGCAGATGCAGCAGCAGGCGGAGGAGCAGGCGGAGGTTAAGAATCAGGCGCTTCCTATCCGCGCTGTGCGTCCGCCTGTCGCCCCTGCCCCAGTCGCTGCACCACGTGTCGCCTCCCCTCTCCGCTCCGCTGCTTTTCCCATTCGCCCTGCGTCCCCTGCTCGCCCTGTTGGGCCTCCAATTCCCATTCGCCCCATCGCTCAGCCGCCTCTTGGTTCCGCTATAGAGCGATTCAATCAGGTCTGGCAGCAACAGGATCGCCCGCAGCAGCTCCCAACGTGCCACCCAACCACCCCGCCCCCTCCAGCACCAGCGTGCACCGCTCTCAAAACCCCCTTTCCTCTTTGCGGAAACGCACCTCCCCTTGCCCCGCAACAACCGCCTAACCTGCCAGCCCCAAATGTTTCTCTCTCGGGCTGCCCGTCGTTCAACTCCCCCTGCCCGTCACAGTCCTCCGCGTTCCAGTCCACTCCACCCTCCTCCGCGTCTCGCTCCTCTCCTTCCCGCTCCTCCCCACCTCCTCTCTCCTCCTCTCTCTCTCCATCTCTCTCAAACTCCACCGCCACCTCGGCATCGACCTTCACTCAAATGGATGCAGCAGACATGGACGATTGCGGCATGGCGGATCGGGCTGGTGGCTTTGATGGCATGACAGATGGGGCTGGTGGTTTTGATCTCATGGCTGCGATGGTATGGCAGGGGACGCGTCTCTTTCCATTCCGCTGAGCCTCTGCCCGCCGCCCATTGCCGTGTGCCGGAAAAAGAGCCGCAGGGAGGAGTACGAGGAAGCTTTCGTTCCCGGGTCACCCTGGTTCTCCCCGTGGCCTCTCCCTCTCGCCGCCGCCCAGTTGTCCCACAAGCAGCAGCAGCAACAGCAGCAGGAGAGCGTGAGGAAGGAGTATGAGGAAGCTTCCTCGGCCTTCTCACCCTGGTTCTCCCCTCGGCCTCTCCCGCTTGTCACCGCCCCGTTTTCACATGAGAAGCAGCAGCAGAAGCACCATTACCATCAGCAACAGCAGCAACAGCAGCAGCAGCAGCAGGTGCATTGTCCGGTGGGATCATCCCTGTCAGGGGATGAGTTCAGCAACAGCAGCAGCATGTGTGGAGCCTCCTCGGCTCTCTCCTTCCAAGCAGCTTCCCGCTGCTTCATGGCCTTCAACCCCTGGGGATCTCCGCGCATCCACACCGTGCCTGATACCACTACCGCCACCGCCACTGGTGGTGCCAGTGGTAGCAATGGTGTCAGTACCCATTCGCCTGTTTCAGGGGTTGAAATTCCGGCAGAGGGTTTCAAGAAAAGTCCTCTGCAGTCTTTGTCTAATGAGAACCAGCCGCCTGTTTATGTGGGTAGGGAGTCCAGGCGCACTTGTGGCTTGGGTAGGTTTTGCTCTTAGGGTACTGGCTTGTTCTGTAATCACTGATTTATTTAACATGATGCTTGTTGGTCTGGATCAAGATAAGTCACCACATATAATGTTCCAGCTTTATTGTTCAGTATAGATGTTGGTCAGACCATTTTATCACTTGGGCTCAAACTATTACCTACCTACCACCACTCAAATCCATCCTATATTTAGGGAACATTCCTGCGGGGACATTTGTGTCACAATCCCAATTTTATTCACTGTACCGCTCTGTACCGAATCAAACCGCTTCGTACACCGCGGTACCTTCCCGAAAATTGGGATTGTGACACAAATGTCCCCGCAGGAATGTTCCCTTAGTGTCTCGGTTTACGTGTAGATCAACGAGTCTGCCTTCACCGGCTTTGCTGCTCGGCAACAGGGAGCTCATCATGTGGGTTTATGTTACGAGTGCAATTGAGCGAGCGAGCGAGAATTGCACTATCGAAGCAAAACAATACAGTTGAGCGAAAAGCATGAGCGAAGTTATATAGCGAAGCTAGCGTGGTAACGGTAATGCGGGAAATTGGGGTGCGATACGGGGCCTAGCGCCGAGGTTGGGAATTGTCGAGGCGGAGGTCCGGAGCGCCAGTTACCAACCGAACCGTGAGGTTGGGTCGTGTTACGATATGAAATTACATGAGTAGGCATTCCTGTATGCTGCAGGAGCCGACTCTACCGAGTACGAAGTCGAGGAGTCAGAAGAGTCGAAGCGACGCAGCAACCGTCTGACCAAGACCGATGCAGACAGAAACATTTGAAGTGAAAAGAGCGGGAACAGGTTTGAAACGGGTTCCCGCGCCGCACGGTTTGAATTTCGCTGCAATAAGGGAATGTACCCCTTAGAGTACATGGCTAGTCTAGGTCTTTTCGTATTCCTTTGTACTCTTTATATAAACCCGATGTATGCATGCTTTTATCAACTCAGTCATTTACATTCACTCTGACCTGAGATTCAAACTTCCGCTGCAACACTACTCTGCGATCAACCCTGAGCGATCCTTCGCTAAGTCCTACTTGGGATTGTAACATGGTATGAGAGCTACTCAGGGATTCTTCGCATAATCAATTCCTTGAAATTCGCCGAACCAAGATCTGGCGAGCGGCACACGCTCCAAAACCAAGATGGCCGGAGGATCCGGAGGCCAAACAAATCTGACGGCTGAAGGACAAACCAACCCGGCTGCGACAAATGAGGCGACAACTACGATCGGCACTGCCGTACTCGAGCAGTTATTCGCTCGACTTTCAACCATGGAGAAAGAACTTCAAGATTTGCGCAAAGGCGTGTCAAACATATGTTTATATGTTATAGTTTAGGTAGGCTTTAGTGGGGTAATCACTGTGGGGTACAACCCCTTAGGTTTCACTTTTGTACCAAAACCTTCTCGATAGTTGAACCATCCCTACCACCCTACTCTAACATGGTATCAGAGCACTTAGGTCTTAGGACCTAATTTCCTAGTGGGCCCACCGTTACCTCTCCTTTTTTTTAGGGTTTCTCCTACCTGTCGAGCTGCCCCACCCGTCGCGCCGCCCTGCTGGCCGCGCGACGCGCGTTTATTTTTAGTTTTTCTTCGTTTTTTCTCGTCACGCCGCCCTAGGGCCCGGCCCCGCCCGTCGCGTCGCCTTAGGGCCTTCGCGCCGCCCACGGGAGCCAGTCGCGCTGCCCTGCTGGCAGCGCGCGACCCCGCCTGGCCCGTCGCGCACCTGTAGGGCCCGCGAGCCGCCCTTCCCTGCTCGCCGCGCCGCCCCTTTTTGGCAGAGCGCGGCTCGGCCCCGCCCTCGCGCACCCCTACGGCCCTCGTGCCGAGCTCTACCCACTGAGCGTCGTGAGCCTGCGTCGCGTCCTGTCTCGCCTGTCTGTTCTGGTCGTTCCGGTCGTCGTGTTCCTCGTCCGCGTCTGCCGGCTGTCCCCGACACCCGCCTCGTAGTCCGTCGTCCTTCCTCTCCTCCGCAGCGTGTTCCTCTGCCGTCTCCTCCTGCGTCTTCTCTGCCTGTCGTTGCGGACCCCGAGTCTGACCGGTTTCGTGCTGAGCACCCTACTGTCACGCGTCTGCTAGCCACTGTTGTCACTGACCCGTCGTTTGAGTCTGTCAGAGTTATATGACATAGCTACTGTAGGCTATAGTGGGGTAGCACATATGGGGTACAGTTGTCTAGGGTTTGCCTTTTGTACCCAACTTTCACTTAGTCATTTCATTCCTGTTTTCTTGATTCACATGGTATCAGAGCCTGGGGGTGCTACTACTGGGGGTGCTGAGCCTGGGGGTGCTGAGCCTGGGAGTGCTACGCCTGGGGGTGCTACGCCTGGAGGTGCTGAGCCTGGGGGTGCGGAGCCTGAGGGAGCTGGGCCTGCTCGTGTGGCGTCTGGCGGTGCTGAGCCTGGAGGTTCTCCGGGTGCTTCGTCTCGGCGGGAGCCACTCTCTCCACAGGAGCTGCGCGAGTGGTTTGCCCGGCGCTGGAGGCGTGCTGCTGGAGCTGGAGGTTCTTCGGTTGCTGAGGGTGCTGGTGCCGCGGGTCCCGGAGGTGCTCGTACTGGGAGTACTGGAGCTGCTGGGCCTGCGGGTACGACTGGAGCTGGAGCTGCTGAGGGTGTTGGCGCTGAGGCTACTGCTGTCGGTCCTGGAGGCGGTCCTGCTGGGGGTGCTACTGGTGCTGCTGGAGGTACTGGAGCTGGAGGTGCTGCTGGCGCTGGTGCTGCCGCTGGGGGTACTGGTGCTGTCCCTGCTGTGTCTGGAGTCGCTGCGCGGCCTCGGCCGTACTTCGTTCCGCTCCTTCAGCAGGTTCTTGGTCTCCCGTCTTCTACTGGTCCTCCTCCTCCCTTAGCGTGTCCACAGCCTGTCCCGTCACAGTTACAGTTACAGCCGACCTCCCCACTGCCCGCTCCTTCTCCCTACACTGGTCCTACTGGAGGTCTTGCTGAGCGTCGTGAGCCTGCGTCTCGCCCTGCGTCGCCTGTCCGTGCTGCTCGCACTAGTGCTCGTGGTTCGCGTCAGCGTCCTCCTCCTGTCCCTGGCACGCACCGGATGTCTCTGCGTCCGTCCACTGCTCCTCTGCGTGCCCCTTTGCCTTCTCCTCCTGAGTCCTCTCTTCCTGCTCTTCCTGACCCGGAGTCGGACTCTCTTCGTGCTGCCAGTCCTACTGTCACGCGTCTCCTTGCTACTGTTGTCACTGACCCTTCCTTTGAGTCCACTGCTGCGTCTGCCCTAGTTACTGAGCTCGTCGACTTTGCTGCTCGCTGTCGTCTAGACTACGCTGCTAGTCTTGTTGCTGAGTCTGAGTCTGTCTGTCCTCCGTCCGTCGGGGTGAGTGTGCCCTTGGCACGGACGTCCTTGAGGACAGGCAGGAGGAGTTCCAGTGTTTGGCTGCTGCTTCACCTCATCTCGTGTCCGTACTGCTTACCCCTGAGGGAGACCCGGATGCACTTGACATCCCGACTCCGCGCTCTTACGCGGAGGCGATAGAGGGTCCCTACTCCTCTCAGTGGCAGGCAGCTATGGACGCAGAGATGGCTTCCTGGAAGTCCACAGGCACCTACGTTGACGAGGTTCCCCCGCCTGGGGCGAACATCGTCAGTGGCATGTGGATTTTCAGGGTGAAGCGGCCGCCGGGTTCTCCGCCTGTCTTCAAGGCGCGTTACGTGGCTCGTGGCTTCAGTCAGCGGCAGGGAGTTGACTACTTTCAGACCTTCTCTCCCACCCCGAAGATGACCACTCTTCGGGTACTGCTGCACATAGCTGCTCACCGCGACTACGAGCTGCACTGTCTTGACTTCAGCACTGCTTTCTTGCAGGGCAGCCTGCACGAGGAGATCTGGCTGCGTCGCCCACCTGGCTTCACTGGGTCTTTTCCTCCTGGCACCCAGTGGAGCCTCCGGCGGCCAGTCTACGGTCTCCGCCAGGCACCGCGTGAGTGGCACGACACACTGAGGACTACACTTACGGCTCTTGGGTTTGCTCCCTCTACTGCCGACCCGTCGCTGTTTCTGCGCACCGACACTTCTTTGCAGCCGTTCTACATCCTCGTGTACGTCGACGACTTGGTCTTTGCCACAGCTGACACTGCTGGACTCGCCCACGTGAAGTCCGAGCTGCAGAAGAGACACACGTGCACAGACCTGGGTGAACTGCGCAGCTACCTTGGCTTGCAGATCACCCGGGACAGAGCACGCCGCACCATTACCCTGACTCAGTCACACATGGTGCAGCAGGTCCTTCAGCGCTTCGGCTTCACGTACTCCTCGCCTCAGGCCACTCCTCTGCCTACTCGCCACTCGCTCTCAGCTCTGCCTTCGGATGAGTCCGTAGAGTCGAGTGGCCCGTACCCAGAGCTTGTTGGCTGCCTCATGTACCTGATGACCTGCACACGACCTGACCTTGCATACTCTCTTAGCATTCTTGCACGCTATGTTGCTCCTGGGAGACACAGACCGGAGCACATGGCTGCAGCGAAGAGGGTGTTGCGCTACTTGTGCAGTACGTCGGGCATGGGGCTTGTGCTTGGAGGGCAGAGTCCAGTGGTCCTCACTGGACACGCAGACGCTTCTTGGGCTGACGACCAGGCTACGCAGCGGTCGTCACAGGGTTACACCTTCAGCCTTGGTTCCGGCTCTGTTTCGTGGCGGGCTACTCGCTCGTCTTCTGTTCTCGGCTCCAGTTGTGAGGCTGAGATCTACGCCGGGGCCATGGCTGCACAGGAGCTTCGCTGGCTCACCTACCTGCTGACTGACCTCGGAGAGCCGCCTCGTTCTCCTCCAGTGCTCTACGTAGACAACAAGGCCATGCTGGCCTTGTGTCGAGAGCAGAGACTGGAGCACAGAACGAAGCACATTGCTCTTCGCTACTTCCTTGCTCGTGAGCTACAGCAGCGTGGTCAGCTGCGACTTGCGTACGTGGCCTCTGAGGCCAACACTGCTGATATCTTCACCAAGGCACTTGCGCCTTGTGATCATCAGCGCTTCTGTACTCAGCTGGGTCATGTACCTACCTTGCCTCACTTGCTCACCTCTTGACCTTGTTTGTACTGTTGCATATATATATACTCCTGCTCTTGCTTGTCTAGCCTTATATATATATGTAATCCTGCATGTGAACTGGCCTTGTGGCCTTGAACTTGTGCTCGGAATGTGTGGTGACTTTGTGATCCACCCTGAGCTTGCTTTGCTTTGCTTGACTGGTCTTGTGACCCCTTGTTCTCCCCCACTTTGCCTATGGGGGTGTGTCAGAGTTATATGACATAGCTACTGTAGGCTATAGTGGGGTAGCACATATGGGGTACAGTTGTCTAGGGTTTGCCTTTTGTACCCAACTTTCACTTAG